ATAAAAAATTGAATTAAAAAAATTACACAAAAAATGAAAACTTATATATATATATATATATTAATTTTTATAATATCTTCAAATTTATATCTTATTAAAAAAACATTATTGTTTGCTCAAAACTACATAAATTTGTATTATAATATCTACAGAGACAAAAAGATAAAATAAAACATTGAAATCGAAATATTTTTTGCTGCATTACACGAATACCCATCCAGTATTTTTATACGTAACTATATTTTTTGTATTCTCTTTATACATTAAAAAATTATAAACATTTCACATATTAAATAATACAAATTTGTAGTGTATTGACCTTTGTGCTAATCCATCATAATCACCATCTGTTTATCTGTATTAAAGAAAATAGCGATTTTGTTCATATATCTGCATACGTTTCTACCCTGAAAACAATTATAAATATAGAAACCCTAGAATCCGACTTCTTCTAGATACACTATTTTTTTAGAGGCGATATACTCTTTACTTTTGAGATTTCGATTCGAGATCAGTTGCAATCGATTGATTTCAAAAATTCAACTCACTCCCTCCTTTTCCCTCTTCCCAATCGGAGAGTGTTAAACCATCTGATGGCGGAGGAATATAATAATGATAGAAGAAACGGCGGCGCCGGCGATGATCGGAGCGAGGCAAGCGATTACACGTCGGAGGACGAAGGGACGGAGGATTACAGGCGTGGAGGTTATCATGCTGTTCGTATTGGTGATACGTTTAAGCATTCCAGATATGTTGTTCAGAGCAAGCTCGGTTGGGGTCATTTTTCCACTGTGTGGCTCGCTTGGGACACTCATAAATCGGTAGGTTTCATGTCTTCTAAATCGTCTAAAACACTTACGAACTTTGATTTCGCCTTTGGTTATCTATATGGCCGAGCAAGCTGATTGTTCGTAGAAACAGTACCAAAGTATATTTTTGCAAATCATTTTTCTTTCCAAAATTGAAGGGAGTAACGTGTTTAATGGTAGTCATATGGTTGATTATTTAGGTCGTGACCACACTTGAGTTGTTTGAGGTAGTAATTAGAAAATTGAACCATGATCTCGTCCTTTGGTCATAATTTCGGTCTGCCAGCCAGTCTTGTGCCTGTTTTGAGATTAAACGCTTCTAATAGTTGGCAAGGTGTTTTTGTTTATCTTATAATTTACTGTATGATTCTTGTGGATGAAAGAAGCATTATTTTTTGCATGAGTTCATATTAGGATGATATGCAATTTGTTTTATCGCTTCTCTCATTTGAGGGTACAAGTGAAGGAGTTCAAACAGCATTTTGGTTTTGTTTTGTAGAGATATGTAGCCTTAAAAGTACAAAAGAGTGCTCAACATTACACTGAGGCAGCAATGGACGAAATCACAATATTAAAGCAGATAGCCGAGGGAGACCCTGATGACAAGAAGTGTGTTGTGAAGCTTTTAGATCATTTCAAACACTCTGGACCAAATGGGCAGCATGTTTGTATGGTTTTTGAGTATTTGGGTGACAATCTCTTGACACTAATAAAGTATTCGGACTATCGGGGGATTCCTCTACACAAGGTTAAAGAAATTTGCTTCCACATTTTAGGGGGATTGGATTACTTGCATCGGCAGCTTTCTATTATTCACACTGATCTTAAACCAGAAAATATTTTACTTTTGTCTACGATTGATCCCGAAAAAGATCCAAGAAAAACAGGTTCACCTCTCATTCTTCCGTCCAGCAAGGAAAAAGTTTTGGCCGACTCTGGAACTTCTAAAGACATCAAGAGTTCAAATGGTGATCTAACCAAGAACCAGAAAAAGAAAATCAGGAAAAAGGCTAAGAAGGCAGCCTACAATGGTGCTGGAAAGGAAGAATCAGAGGAAGTTGAGTCTGTTAATGCAATAAATGGCGCTGATTCTTGTTGCAATGAGAAATCAAACGGAGACTCCCTTGAAGAGCATGCCACTGCATCGGTTGTAAAAGATGAATCCAATGATTTTTCTGAAGCAAGGAATTCTCGCCAAGGAAACCAACTTCGTAGGAGAGGAAGCCGCTCAACAAGGCAGAAGCTATTGGCAGAGGTTGACGTTAAGTGCAAGTTGGTTGATTTTGGYAAYGCATGYTGGACTTAYAAGCAATTTACWRGTGACATCCARACTAGGCARTACAGRTGTCCAGAGGTKCTACTAGGWTCCAAATACTCRACMTCYGCWGATCTATGGTCATTTGCATGYATATGCTTCGAGCTGGYMACTGGTGATGTTCTCTTTGATCCTCACAGCGGTGACAACTACGACAGGGATGAGGTACATTAGCATTCAGTTTTTAAATGTTCGATTATTCTATATAGTCTCCGTGACAATTTATGCAGGCAGTAGTGTGTGAATTGTATCATTGAACTTTCCTGCATCTAGGTGATTTCTTTCCTTCAATTTTCTTATCGTCACATTTTACTGCCTTAGACTGTACTCCTGTTTACAAAGTAGTGTCAGTTTTTTTTCCTTCCTGCTGATGTATCTAATCAGACTATCGGAGTGCTATCAGTACAGTAGCTTCACTTTTACCTGGATAGTTTGGACCTTGCTTCATTAAAGGGTCACTTGAATGGTTAAGGTACTCGTGCACATTCTAAGCAGTTGATGCATAGAGGTCAAAGTTGATAATTCTCCCGCGGTACAAATTATATGTTTGGTCAATTAGATATTAACATGTATCTTGAGTATGAAGAGGACGACTATGTGGAAGATATTAATCATGTCAAGTTTCTAGCATATACAAGATATGATTCAAGGCCTGAATACTCGGTCACACAGCTATAGCCTTTATACATTGGAAAAAAAGGCCCAATTTAATAGTTTCATGAAACTTTTGGTTACAGGAAAGAAAAGTTGCACAAAGTACCGTTGCATTCCTGGATTTAATTTTTTGGAAGCTATGGTTAATGGTCATTATTTGGGTGAGTCGAGTCATTAGCTATGGTGATGCACATGAAGAACTCAATTAATAATTCATACCGAGTTTTTTCCCCTCAATCCCTAAACCGATGATCATCCAAATATAGCATTGGATTTAAATTTTCTTTAAGAAGTTAATTGACAAGTGATCAACTATACCTAAATTCACCAACCTAATTTTCAGAAACAAGCAATAAACAGAATTAAATACGATGAATCACTTTAGTTGTAGGAATTGAATTCTTAAGGGTTTTGGTTGGTGTGACAGCTGTAGAGTGCCATTTGTATCAATTCAACCAACATTATTAAGATCCATTAATGCATTTCTCTTTTTAATAAACTAAAGTTGGAAGTGTGGAATCTGACACTCTACTGAACTCTTAGCTTGATTTTTTGCTTAAAACCCAGTGTGGCTGATCATCCGAAAAGACCTATCATAACTCATTAATCTTAAAAGCTTGGTTTTTACATATGCTGGAGGTTCTGAAATATCTCACTATCTAATTCTAGTTTCTATTTGACAAGTAAATGGTTACATGGATTTGTAATGTTGCTATAATGGTGAATAGGGCTACTTAAATAAATGTCTGCTGTGCTGTTTTTCTTCTTTTACACTCTTAGCAGATAGCCTTTTATCACACCTCCACAAATATGAGACCACCGGGACAACTGTGTTGAGTGTGTTGTGAGCCAACATATTACTTCTGTTACCAACTTCAATTTTTAAATGACAAAGAAAAGGTATGATCGTTTGACATCAATTGTTGCTTCATATAAAAATTCATTGTGCGACTCTGAATAGATTCCCAAATCATGTTTTAAGAAATTACGAGTTCCATGAGAAAGACACTTTTTCTCTTTACCATGGTGATGGTTTGGTGGACTTGTTTGGTGATTGAAAGATATCAAAAATTTCCATCTAGTGCAAGCCTATCTGATATAGAAAGATTTATATGTATGTGTGTGTGCATGTATTGATTCATAACAAACCAGAAAAATGAGATATAGATCTTGAAGCTTTTTATGGGTGGTGCTGATATGGAATTTTCTTAGGTCAGCAATAGGGAAGGAGTCCAATGATCACTGGGGAAGGTTAGTTTAGATCTGTCATCAACAGTACCTGTGCTTCAACCATATTCTGCACAGCATAGACCCCCTTGACGCTTTTTCTTATGGTCCATTAGTTGGTAGAAGTTCATTCGACCATGGTGATGCTAAGTTGTGTTACAAGTGTCTTCAGTTGATATCAAGGTCTCCCTAAGAGTGTTATTGGTTCTAATACGATGCACACTATTGGTTTTGTGTCACTTTAAGTTGGATAGGAGAACTGTCTTCTAAGGAACAACCTTTTCTTCACTTCTTGTCAATTGTTACAAGTACATGGTCATATTTGAAGAGCCATAGGTTCAACCCCACTTGCGGAACACTTAGGGGCTGTTTGGTTGGTTTTCCATTAAATCATATATGGATAAAGTTGTCTGTGTGGATTAATCTGGCTATATAGATTGAAGAAGTTTTTATTTGGGAGGGTTTTTTCATAGATGGAAGGAGCGTGTTTTTTAATTGGGAGCTGCAGGTTTGAAAAAAACTTGACTTTCTGCATAAACCCCCCTTAGAAATCTACTGAATAAGACACTTTCTATATCATTAAGCCACTACCAAACAGTCATGTATAACTGACAGAAGTTGCGAGTCCCATTAAGCTTATTAAGCTGCTAACAAACATGCTCTTAGGACGATCACTTTAATTTTAATTCTGCCGAGCTACTTCTCTGCAGATCTTTCTATGTAGTTAACAGTGGGGCAAAACGGCAAACAACCTATATAGCGCCATCTGTTAGGAGATAGAAGGCAAACAATGTTATAGAATTTGGTTTATGTGGGACAACCAAATCCCAACACTTTTAGCTGGGGCATGGAGTATATACTGCTCTTCTCCCATTTTTCTTGACATATAGTTTAAGTCATCATCACCCAATTACTTATCTGTTATATGCATGCGTGTATGTACTTTCACCTGCTCTCGTATATGAATACAAATTAAGATGGTTTTACATAAAAGAATGTCTTGTATTATTATCTGATCAAATATCAGCTTCTAATTTTATTTCTTATATCAAGTGTTTTATTATGTCTGTCATTGTTAAATTACGTTTGCACTTAACAGGATCACTTGGCCCTAATGATGGAACTTCTTGGAATGATGCCTCGAAAGGTCGGACGTTATGCATTATATTTCCGTTCTACTAAATTTTGTTTTTTAATCCCTTTAGTTGGACCAAATTTCACGTGATACTTTTCCGCATAGGTACCAAACTGTAGAAGTCCTTATTACATTGTATTGTGCAGATAGCTTTAGGTGGGCGCTACTCTCGGGATTTCTTCAACCGACATGGTGATTTGAGACATATACGGCGGTTACGTTTTTGGCCTCTAAAGAAGGTTCTTATGGAGAAATACGAGTTCAGTGAAGAAGATGCAAATGAGTTGTCTGATTTTCTTGTTCCTATACTCGAATTTGTCCCTGAGAAGAGGCCTACTGCTGCACAATGCCTTGCTCACCCATGGATCACTGGAGTACCTCGGCATCTTGCTTCTGAGGAAACTGATAACAAGACTTTGGAAAGTAAGAGAGAGAAAGATGAGAGGGAAGCAATGGAGGTTGGAATGGGGAACATAGCAATTGGGGGAGTTTCAAAACCAGCACTAAGATAAGCCTGCTAAGTTTCAAAGGTAACATTCTTGTTTTGCTTTTTCTCCATAATACTAGTACTACCTCAATTCCTGAATTTTAGATTTCGTTTAGAATTTGGTGATAAAATAGGACATTGTTAACTGACTTGGTATTCGGGGAAGGTTCAAAGGGGAATCATAAATATTTTGAGAGAACCAGTAAATGCATTGATGCATATACACTTAATGAATTCCAATGAGTTATATTTAGGGGAAAGCCCCCCAAAAAATGAAATAATGAGGAACACCCTAATAATTGTCCATCCGTATGGCATACTCATGTGCATACAAATTGAGGATGTTTTCTTGTTTTTATAAACGTGTGCATGTCATACGCATGTGCATATTGGAAAAATCACTTGCAAAATACTTGTATGCACATGTGCATACCGTTCAAATGAATGATTACTAGGGTGTCCCTTATTTTTTCATTTTTTTGCGGTTTTTCTCTGAAAAATGAAAATTGAGGGACATCATAGCAACCATTCATCCGTATCATATGCACACGTGCATACAAGAATTTGTCGGTATGCACATATGCAAAGAAACCGAGAAACATCTCCAATTCCTTGTGTATATCGTACATATGAATGTTTATTAGGGTGTTATTTCCATTTTTTTGGAGGTTTTCCTATGCACCAATACATGTATAGCACATATACATTGATGAATATACTGATTGCCATATACATATTTTGATAGTGTATTATGCGTCAATGCATATATATATATATATATATATATATATATATATATATATATAGAGAGAGAGAGAAGCGTTCAAATGCGAACCCTCTCCGTTTGTGTAAACCGTGTGAACCAATCTCAACCATCCATTTTCTTGATCAATGGTCAAGATTTGTAGGCTTTATTTATGGAAATTAAAAAAAAATAAAAATAAAAATTCAATTTATTTAATCAATAAGGGTATAATGGTAAACATAATTAACTATTTTGTAATGAAACATTTTCACGTAAGAAACTGCATACAAACAGATTAACTTCATATCGAACAAAATCCATTATGAATTATTTCATTACCTATGAATGTATTTCATTATATTTTTTCATGAATTTTTTTCATTACATATTTTTACATGAAATTGTTTCATGTTAATTATTCCATTATGCACCCGTTGCATGATACATATATTTCATGCAGAACAAATCCCAATATGCACCTGTTTCATGATGCATTCTAACCATTGCTCGGTTCAACTTCAAATACAATTCATCATGTATCACGATGAAAGTTGTGCATTAATCTCGAATAACTTTGAAAAATAAAACTTTCATTACAATGAAATTACTTCGTTACAATGAAACACCTTCATGATGAATGTATTTCATTAACTTTTTTTTTTTAATTTTTTTCATTACATATTTCACATGAAACTATTTCGTTATATATTTCACTTCAATCTATCTCATTATACACCCGTTTCATTATACGTATATTTCAAAAAGAACAAAATCCAATATGCACTCGTTTCATAACCATTCTAACAACAGAGCGGTTCAACTTTTGATACAATGCATCATGTATCACGATGAAAGTAGTGCATTAAACTAGCTATATTTTCTTAACTTTTCACATGAATCTATTTCATTAACTGTTTCACCTCAATCTATTTCATTCACTCTTTTAAATGCATCTACTCCATAATGCACCCATTTCGTGATACGTTAATTTCAAAAGTAACAAAACGATTTATGCAACAGTATCATGACTATTATAACAACTAAACGCAACAACTTCATATACATTTTTTCATGGATCTCAATGAAAGTAGTTCATTAGATTTCGAGTTTTTTAATTGCATCATGAATCTATTGCATACACCTTCATATTTTTAATTGTACAAGATACCAGAATCCTCATTCCATTGCAATTTCTTAAAATTAAAGATTTTAATAATATATTACAATAAAAGCTTAAAACATTACTATGTTTCATACTTTCTCCTAATAAATTTGCCTTAAATAAAATATATTATTAACTTCTTTAATTATCAAATTTTTTTGTAAAATGACATAAATAACCTTATCAATTAAATTTAATTAAAAATAAATGGAATTATCTTATTGGTCAATCTTGGTTCACACGGTTCGTAAGAATTGGACGGTTCGCATTTGAACCTGCCCCTATATATATATATATATATGTTCATATTTCTCATAGTATTCATGGTTCTTATTTGAACTTCCCCCTTGATATTAAGCTTTAATTTAAAGGTTGGAAACTATTTAATACTTGATGAATTCAACATGGTGCCATTGTCTTTCCTTTTCCAAGTATAAATATAACTTCATCGGTCATCCGGGAAAACCGAAGTTGGTTTACATAAGCTTGTGAACACTAGTATATCCATAACTTGATTTTGATGTTCTTATATGGTTTAGGAAAGAAAACACATCTCGACCGTTTGAGTTCTTTTATTTTCTGAAGTGAGGTTATCACTTATCAAGGTCTCAAATTCAATAAAACATAGTTTCCATTTTCTTTTCAATTTTCATATCTTATTTATGGGACAACATCGTCTTGTTAGAAATCACGTTGACATTAAGGGTGTGTTTCGTATTCAAACAAGATAGACAGTTGGTCAGCGTTTGGTAAGACAGAACTGCACAAGACAAGATAAATAAAATGACCAATTTAGCTCTAATGAGTTGTATATATATTTGATTAATTTATATAATGTATTAAATTATAATAAAAGAAATATCTTTTATACAAAATATATTATTAGAAACTTATCGTCAAGATGATTAAAATGACACAAGACTAAAAAGTTTATGTAGTTTCTAATTTTTTACTTTATACATTTTTTATATTATCAATATTTAATAAATTACATAAATTAACTACAATATAGAAACCTTATAAAAATAATATTTTGAGGACAGTAAAGTGAAAGTTTAAAGAACATAAWATACAATAAATAAAATTTAAAAAATAAATAAAAAGTAAAGTGGGAGGCGAATTCGATGTTTTGGAAGAGAATTAGGTTTTATTTTGAAGTTATAATGGTAAAATATAGGTTTGTTTCACCTTGTTCCATAAGGTGGCGGTGGAACACGCCTGTTCCGCTTTGTTCCACATAAAAGTCTCACCAAACATGGAACACCTGTCTTGTCCAACGTACCAAACGCACCTTAAGGGAAAATTTAAACAACAATTACAAGTGGTTATGTGTTTCTTGAAAAATGTTATGGTTTGTTGCTTATGTTGTTCCTACATTTCAGGGATGGAGCACCCAAATATGAATCTAGAGATGGTGGCATTTTCCCCTCCATTGAACTTGGTGGAAGATGAAACACAGTGAGTTCAGTATATCCTTGATGTCCATGCTGATTGTGAATGAGGTCTTTTGTGAAGCATGCTCAATGATGTGTAGCTACAAGTATTCTTTGTACAATTCATGGAATATTCTGTTATCGGAGGGATAATATTGGTATTGTTTGTAATGTGGTTGGTGACAAACACAATTTGCACATTTTTATTGGAGTTTGTCCTGATTTTGTTAAGACATGGGAGTGAGAAAGTATGTTACACAGGGTTATCCTTTTTTTCGGATTGCTAGGCCACAATTGATGAGTTGAACCAATAACTTCTAGTAGATTGACTTAGGGGTTGTTTGTCAAACGCTTATCCGGGTAAGCGCTTACCAAAATCACATTACCTTATCGGATGAATATGGTAAGGACCAAGAATCTTACCTGGTAAGAGCGAGACAAGGACCAAGAGTTTTACCCGGTAAGTGAGGGCAACGACTTTTACCACGGTAAGTGCTTACGGGATAAGTTGATGCATACGATGCCGTTTTGGTGGACTAAAATCTTACCCGGTAAGTAAAGGGTAATATTAAATTTTACCGGTAAGCGCTTATCGGGTAAGTGTTTGGTAAACGGCCCCTTAAATTATGAGGAAAATTTATACTAACCAATGATTTAAAGTTTATAAAAAGCTCACAAACCCCATTCCCCCGAGCTCATTTCAGCTCGTTATCAACAATAGTAAACGAAATATGTGGTTGATTAGCAGTTTTTTGTTCACAACCAAAACTCCTATTTTTCTTGCACATAATAATTGAGTCCATAACTTGTTATTCATAGAGGTGGATTTGGTATGGTATTAAGTTTTTTTTTCTCTAGTAGTGTGTGCCAATCAATTATAACTGAACTTGATTGAAACCAGCTTTCTTTTGTTGGTACATGTTTTGTACCAGCTTCAAATCACATATATGAAAACTTGCTATTATGTTCAAATTTTGAGGGACATGTTGAGTTTTCAAATAACATGTGATCTTTAAGAGTTTTTAACCGCAAAGAATAAAACTTTTAAGCATCATCCAAATGCTCAAACAAAATGATTAAAGTTACAATGTTTAATATTCAATACATAAAAAATTAAATAAGTCGGTATGCGATGGTACACAACTTCCAATACTGTTCAATACTGCCAACCGATTGTAATTGATAACAATTAAGATACATATGCTGATTGGTTTAGTTTGGTACAAAATTACCACCCCTGGTTATTCCGATACCATCTAGGGATTATGCTGACCAGACAACAAACTTTAACTGATAACAACATATGCAACACTCAGATATACACACAACAAAGATTTAGGAATTAGGAATTACATACATGATATATATATACTCTGCTATCTTGCTAAAATCCTCCATTCGTTACCTCGAATGGAAACAGAGCTTAATCTTTTCGATTGATGTGATTGCTATCAAGAACTCTAATGGCAGATCCTAATGGTTTCATCTCTGCTTTTGTATCCCTTGTCCATAATTTTGTAAGAAGTACAATTTCTTTGCCGAAATGATAATTGATCAGATGAAGATTTAACTTACAAAAGCAGCCTACAGAATCTTCTTTGACCGGAGGTACGAGTACGTGAGAAAAAATGCGACTACAGCACCAAAGACGATTCCTGCTGTAGTAAGCCAAAATGCAAACTGCATACGATAATTTACGTGAGTGTTATAAGATGTCGATTGTTCTGTTCCCGTATGTAGGAAGGACACTAAAGATTTTTGACGTTAAGATGAGCGTACCACGTGTTCTTCAAGATAGGATCTTAGATTCATGCCAAATATACCTAGAAACAAAATGAACAGTGAGTTTTTGGTGCTTTTAACTCATGGAGTTAGCTGATCTCTTCCTGCATTGGAACATGAGTAATGGGAAATTAACGCAAATAACCCTTTTGACCAACGCAACACCTCCTAGCCATCGCTTTACTATTTTATCAAACCCTCTGTAAGTGCCCTTGCCGCAACTTGAAGAGGGCGCATTTTATAAAAAAAATGAGTTTCAAACTTGAGGCAGCATTTAACTCATCGATGCCCCCTCCACAAGTGAACAAAAGTTAAGTTTAATTATTTTTTTAACTCATTATTTAACTCATCAATGCCCCATCCCCAACTGAATACAAGTCAAGTTTAATTATTTTTTTAACTCATCAATGCCCCATCCGCAAGTGAACAAAAGTTAAGTTTATCTTTTTGAACTCATCAATGCCCCCTCCGCAAATGAACAAAAGTTGAGTTTAAATATATTTTTTATACTCACTATTTAACTCATATATGTCCCCGCAGCAAGTGCACTTGCAGAGGTATTGATTTAATGGTACAAATGGAAAAGAGACGGCTAGAAGGTGCATTGCCTCGGTCAAAATGACTATTTACGTTAATTTCCCCATAAATAATGCCTAGTTTTAGAATCTAAGAAAATCGATTAACTTAAAGTACTGCAACGAATAGCCAATTTTGTTCCAATATTCTAAGATGCTCAAATGTTTCGTTTCTTCTTTAAAACTAAATTTACGCTAACATTTCCTGATTTCATAACACTTTGATTAATATGTCCATAAAGTCGAATCTTGCATAATCCATGGGATGGGAAGTAGTATAATTTAAGCAAAAAGTAAGAACCTGAAACCAGGGCACCAACTGCAAGACAAAAGGTCCCAACCTGAAGAAGCAATTCAAATCTGCTCACCTGAAGCCTCCGGGAACTGGTAATAAGAGTAGACAACGTTTACACATGAACTGAATTATTTCATCATTTATCCCCCTGTCTTTCTTTGCAAAAACCTCCATTTCAGGATGTCCCATGAAAATTGGGTGGTTCTCTTTTGGCTTCAACTTCAGGTAAAAACTAAAATACTTCAAGTGATATAGCATAGCAAAAACTTATGCAAACCTCAAGTTTACAGCGATCGAGTCTTCCATTTCTCTTGCAGAATCAAGAAGTCTTTCTGCTTGATTATGACATGATTCACATCTGCAATCGTAGGAAAAGTATTCATTCAACTTAGTGCTAAGCATACTTCTAAAAGGCTCGACTCAAAAAATGAAAAATTGAGGAACACCTCCGTAACCATTCATCTGTACGATATGCACATGTGCATACACGTAAGTAATTTGTCCAGTATGCACATTTGCATAACAGCACACGTGCATAGAAACAGGAAACAACTTCAATTACTTGTATTCACATGTGCATACCATACACGTGAACGGTTATAAGGTGTTCCTCGATTTTTCATTTTTTGGGGGTTTTCCCCTGAACCTCACTGTATATATGATATAGAGATTTGTCGTCATAAGTCACGCCTTGAAAAACGCTGTGGCCTTGCCATCACTCCCAAGGCTTGAGGCTTGGCCTCGCCGCCACGCCTCATGCCATTTAGAACCTTCTGCATACCCCACAAATTGCAATATAGGTCCTGCCCTCAAGTTCTTTTCAGAAGAGATATCTACCTGTGAAGATAATTTTCCAGCAACATTTCAATTTCCTCCTCCTCTTCTGCATATGATGAAATCAACAATGAGTTACCATATTTTATAACAATATCTCCAACTATGCAACATACTTACCCTCAGCAATCTGCTTCTCAAGTGGAACTGAGCATTCCACATCACTGTTTCTACCCAAGATGCAGTTTCTGCCCACAATACAGAGACGGCGTATTTCTTGAGAATCCTCTAGAATATCAAGCAGCATTTGTCTGAGTGCCCCTGCTTTTGATCCCAGCTCGACCTTTCATGCAAAAAATAGGGACTTGGTTTATTTCCAGTTCACATAATAGGCATCGAAGCTCAAGGGAAAAAATGATGTGATTAATTAATGGTACCAAGGTTTGCTTGCAAATGCGAAGTTGTTCCAATATACCAGCTGTTAATCGGTTTGGTAAAACCTTAAGTAGATCTTGAACCTGAAGCACAATGCAAAGGTTTCTCTACCGATTAGTATGCGGGTGTAATAAAATTGAGTGATCGGCATAAACTAGTGCTATAAATAACTTTAAGAGGCTGATTGGTTGGTTTTCCATTGTATGGATAAAGTTGTCTGTGTGGATTAATCTATCTGTATAGATTGGAAAGGTTTTTGTTTGGAAGAGTTTTATCATTAATGGAAGGAGCGTGTTTTTTAATTGGAAGGGCAGGTTCGGAAAAAACCTTGCTTTCTGCATAAAGCTCCCTCCTAAAAGCTTACTGAATAAGCCACTTGCCACTACAAAACAGCCATGTATAGCCGACTGAATAAGCTGTGAGTCTTTTATGCACAACTTTTGTTCATACAGTAAGGACTAAACTCCTTCAGTCAATACTCTGGCTTTTACCACCCAAAATTTAGGATATCATCTTATACTGAAATTCACCAAAAGTAAACTAAAATGTACTCAATGTGTTTCCATACTCACATGTGGGTCTAAATCCATTAGTCTGTGCTCAAAGTGCTGTATTCGTGAATGAAGGGCGGCTTCAACGACCTGAAATCCAAGTTCAAAGTTCTTGTTAAACCTTGATAAAATCCAAAATCTAGAAACTGGAGTAAAATTCACTTAGGGTGCATCTGGTATCTGGACAGAATAGGACAGAACAACTGTTAAACAAAACTAGATGGAACATAACAGATAAAATGACCAATTTAACCCTGAGGAGTTGTTCTGTTTGTTCCACATAAAAGTCCTGCCAAATGTGGAACAGTGATCCCTATGTTGTTATGTCTTCTCCAGCTTACCAAACGCACCCTTACGGGGCAAAAGCCAATCCCGAAGGACAGGACCTAAAAGGCCATGGTTTTAACTCGATGGCAAGCAAACTCATGCGAACATCGGTCTGAAAGCTGAAGAAATTTTAGCCATCAAAGCTTATAGAAACACTAGATGAATAAAAGCAACTTGGGTGATATAATCCATAGAAAGGGAACAAAAATCATATACTAGATGAACCCAGAAAACTTATATAGAACAAAACCAACCTCAAGCTCAAAGGGCATTACTAGACCTCCTCCAATCATACTTTTAGGATTTAAGCGAGGTAATAAATCATCAATAAAAGCTTTTCCTCCTCTACTGCAATACTCAACAGAATAAACCAGAAAAGAAATGCGTCAATTCAGTAGTGGATTCCTCCCTCTGTCCCAATCAGTAACCTTGATTCAGGATGAAAATACGACTTAATCTCAGAGGACTTTTCATACAAGCAATGCTTACCGGTTGTAGTTAAATATAAAGACACTCTCTTGCATTGCAATTGCCCGCAGCGAGCCCAAATTCAATAGTATGGCATTTTCACGAACCTATAAAAGAAATCATAAGACGTGTGTATTAATGCTGACCTACAACCATGGTGCTTATGCTTTTGATAATCTTTTGATGTGATTGCATGGGATTTTTTTACTAGGATAATTAACGATAATATTCGCATAAGTCCTGTGCATGTTCGAAAGGCACATTTTTCTCATGGTTCTACGAATGCAAACACAAACTCTTGGAGAAAGCGAAATGCCGACATCTGTGATCATATAGATGCTACTGGCCTACTGATAAAAGCACGCACTACCAAATTCATAATATATATACACATATATGGGTAAATATGTATGCATAATATACAAGCTGCTAAATTGCAACAAAACTAAGAAGCATCTTGCCAGGAAATGCATCTATCAGTACCACCTGCATACAAATAAGATTTTGATCTACATCCGTATGACTTCATAGCAGTAGCTTGGCTTGGCACTATACCAGCAAAGAAGGCATTGTGTTTGTCAACCATAACGATGGATCAACACTCCGTATGTCACGAGGACGAAGACCTGAAATCAGAAACCTAAATTAAGACATGCCAATTAAGTGTTGACGATAAACTTAACTCAGTTGTTGTAGAATTACCAAGATAAAAAGATGCACAGAGAATAAGAAAGAAAAATCTAACTACGAAGGGCATAGTTGTAATTCTAACTATTTTAAGAGTTACACATAAATATATGAATATTAAGGTGGCTTGAACATTAGATCTTTATTCACAATTATGGGATTCATGATGAAACTCTAGATTGAACAGAGCTGCAAGAAGAAGCAAAAAAAGTTCAGCCAACTAGCAAAAGCAATCCCCACTGGAAATAAATCATTATTTGGGGAGTGTTCACCACTTGACTTTAGTAGATGCCGTCTGTGAACTTTTCTGGTTGAGACCATTCCTTTTGAACTTACTTCCACAACCTTTAAGAGAAGAACAACACATATATAAAAATATTAGATGAACTTATGATGAAATAACTGCAAATGAAGTATTTTTATAACTAATCATTTTGAAGAGTCACAAGAATGTCAGTATGTCATATAAGGCTTCAACTAATTTAAAAGACCAACAATGGTAGCATTTAAAATCAACCCCTTTTCAGCCAAAGTCTCAAACCGCATGCACATATTTACATTGAAGTTTCATAGATGTTTCTTCCTTGTAGATACAATTGATGGAATATTCATGTATACATATACATGCTTAGCTCTTAATAGCAATAAAAACAGTTACATTTTAACCTTTTTCTCAAATTTGTTGCTATGCCTAAAACAGGAAATCCTAGACTAGGAGTAGTCTCTTGTCCTTGGAACAAATTGAAACTGGTGCTTATAGTTGCAATAAGATGGCAAGGAAACTTTGGGCAGAAATCATAAGTTCCCTCTTTTTAGAATTACACCTTCCCTGTATCAATATGACCATAAATTTTGATTGATTTTTAGCCTAATCTAACTAATTTGGGATAAAGGTTTGATGTTCTTGCTGGTACATTATTCCCAAATAACTTGTACTAACACTAATGAGCAATGAGACTCCATTGCCACATATTATAGTCATTATAGTTTGTACACTTGTAAGTAAAAATCTATGGAACTTCAAGTATGTCATATGAATATTATTCGATTACCCCATGGGCCTGTCTGGCAGCAACTTAATAAGCTTAATGGAACTTAGAGCTTGTTTGGTCAGCTATACATGACGATTTAGTATAGACTTAATCATATACAAAGTGGTTTATCCAGTAAGCTTCCATGGAAGCTTTATACAGAAAGTCAAAAAAATTCCAAACATGCTCATCCCAATTAAAAAACACTTAATCTACTTTTAACTTGAGGGAAAATCAACCAAAACAGCCCCAATTATGTTGTTGTGCTTCAGTTTCGGGCATCTCACTGCCTTGCGAATAAGTTTTCAGTGTCACAGGCTACATTGGAAAATCAAAACTAAACTGCATAAGCTACGAAACGACGCAATCATTTAAAATCCAAACAAACCTCATAAACCGGATCACGACTCCCAAGGTTAAGAGCATCAGACAAAGACGAAACATTCCTTCTCGAACCACCGGTAGTAATTCTGTCGAACTCATCCGAGCTTTGATAACTCTCTTCACCGGAATCATCATCATCATCATTACCAGCAGAAGTTTCCTCCGTACTCTCTTCCGTTGATTTCACATAACGCTTAGACCTACCAGTCGACAAAATTTCCAATGGAATCGGGAACAGGAAATAGCAACTCTTCCGCAGAGAAATGGCCGGATATGTTTGCCGGATCAAGGTGTCTCTGTGACAAAGAATACAGGACGGCGGCAAATGAACCACCGATAAATGCGGGAAGTGTGAGGTTGAAGAATTTGGAATTATAGTTTTTAGCGCCATTGCGAAAGCTAAATGAGTAAATTCAATTGGTAGAGGGTGATTATGTTTGAGAATCCGATTCCATGTGAATTTCTGTGAGTGTGAAATCCAGTGGTGGTTGTGAATTTGTATGTGTGTGAAATCCGGTGGTGGTGGTGGTGGTGGTGGTGGTGGTGGAGGTTAGTGAGGGGGAGGTCGACAGTGGGGGTTTCTGGTGGTTATGTTTTGTCCACGTGGACTTTATCCACCGTAGCTCTCGTGATACTTTACCGCTAACTTTTAAAAAAGTCCACTTCTTCGTTCTAGAGTTTTGTATTCGTTTCAAATTAACATTGAAAAATTAACGTTTTTTATTTATTTTTTAACGCATTTTCAAAAATTGTATTTGAAAATCTCGTAAGTCACAATTTAAATATTCAATTATTATTTATACATTATATTATAAAGTATTTGACAAAAATTCTTAAAAATTATTTTTTATACATGAAGTACTGTTATTGATGCATATTACTTAAAATTCAAGATTACAAACAAATTATACGTTAGTACAACGTATTAGAGCTTCATGCTTGAATTCGTGTAAATAAAGGCAGATAAACATAATCAAATAGAAGATAAAAAAGAATATTAAAATTACAAGAAAGAAAAGTCGAACAAGAAACAAGATGGGTTTAAAGCGTATATGGGTAATTGAGTATGTAGTTGGTTTTGGTGAATTGATCACGATACAAGAGAGATGCCATCAAGGAGCAAGTCGTCTGCTACTATCTTGTTTGCCGCTTCTGACGGATGAAACCCATCCCAAAAAACATATTCCGATGCATTTGCACATGTCCCCGGTGACTCCTTGTTGCATAGAAACGATGTCTCCACCAACCCTGTACCGCAACAAGCCTTCCTTGCTTCAAAGAACCCTATAACACAACACATGTTTCAATCATTACATCATTATATACATGGCCAAGCTCATTTTCACGTGAGAACTACAAAAAGTTAAGAACCGTAAGAATATATATATATATATATATATATATATATTCTTACGGTTCTTATATTGCCAGAATATACGGTTCTCAATTTTTTATGGTTCTTATGAACTAATTTGTCTAACTGTATCATGTATATACCATAATCAGTAGGTTTCTGAATAAGGTCATAAAGAGGATTGTAGATATCCAACACCACAAGATTAAGTCCTGAGAGTTTGGATTTTAGAGATGCAGATGTTTCATTCAGCTTCTTATTGAAGTATACAGCTACTGTGTTCATCTTCGTAACACACTCGTTACTATCTTCACTAAAGATTGTAATGGATGCTGGTAAGCAACCAATTGGTGGTAAAGTCGACACACCGATCTTTCTTGCTCCCGCCCCATATAATTCCTATCACAAAAAATTGAACAAAATCATATAATTTCTTCATATTTGATCTTTTTTCTATTTGAATTTTGCTTATTAATTACCTGGATGAAGTGGGAGTAAGCTTGAATAAGGATGTCTGAAAACTGATAAGGCGTGTAAACTTTGTATAGGAGTGGATTAATATAATAATTCTGGATAAAATCACTGCTTCCAGAACTAAGCAGATATATTGAACCTGTGATTATTGATGTAGCATTGGACTGTCCTGCTATGCTGATCAGTTTCTTTTGGTATTCCTTGTAGTACCCGAGTTGCTTGCTCAATGGGATCGTATTCTACATTTATTTTTCAATCAATTTTTATATCAATAATACGATATATAGAGATAAATGATTAACTTTAGAATAATATATAGGGCAAATTGCATAAAAAAGTAACGTATTTTAACTTGATTTTTATTTTGGGAAAACGTACTTTGAAACTTCCATTTTGATATCTAAGATGTAAAGTTTTAAACATTTAAGTACCCGGGTAACCGGTTGAAGCATTAACCGGTTATCATGCTGATGTGACGAGTGATGTGGTATCCAACTCAGTATTATTTGCTGACGTGGTTAGTGACGTAAAATTTTTTTAATCTAAATTAGTCTTTTTTTTAATCTAAAATTAGTTTTTTTAATCGGTTACTCGGGTACTTAAATGTTTAAAATTTTGTATCTTAGATATCAAAATAGAAGTTTTGAAGGTACGCTACCTAAAATAAAAATTAAATTAAAATACGTTATTTTTTCATACAATTTATCATAGTAGAGAGAAAAAATTGGTGTTACATATAGGGTGGCAGTGGTCTCATAATATCCGGAGCCACCGGAGGCAAAGTTAGCTCCCAACAAAAGGTTCTTCCCATTGGCTTCTTTGCTTAGTATGGGTGGAGGGTACGATGTAAATCCTAGATTCTCACCTGCACCATACAAGTTGTCGGTTGTAATTATATGTCATCGTAGCAATAAAATCTTTTATGTACACGACATTAAATATATCTAAATGTCTTAATAGAATGTTTTATATACAGTGTTCCCAAACTGCACCGCATGTATACTTGTCAAACTGTAAACGTTTTTTCGAATAATATAATATAAAAAGTCTAACGTTATGCTTTATTTCTAAATTGTCTTTAAGAAAAACTTTTTAGGGCCTTTTAAAAGTGTTTTGTCAATTTATTGCAACATATTTTACATAAGATGAACGTTTGTTTGATTATGTTAAAACGTAAATTTTATTAAACAATCTATTTAAAAATATATTTTGCATATTATAAAGTCAATTTTATTGTAGTGTGGACTGTGGACACATGACACACAAACACTCTAGCATTAATTTGTGTACGTACACATATATTGATAAGGGTGCTCAAAAACCCTACCAACCAACCCAACCTAACATGAAATAACTCAACCCGAAGCAACTCGATGTTTAATCGAGTTGTAAAATTTTCATGATTATCGGGTTGATATTGGGTTACTTTTAGATTTAATATGATTGTTGAATTTCGATTAATATGTATATTAGACAATTACATTATCATGTATATTCTTCATGTACATATATTTTCAATCAATTCATCTCTATATAACTTCTTTGTATATATGTTCATTAACTGTGGACATGTGTGTGTATGTGTATATATATATATATATATGTGTGTGTGTGTGTGTATATATATATATATATATTTGTGTGTGTGTGTGCGTGTGTGTAAATTGAGAAAATTTAAAAAATATAGATAAGTTATACCAAATGGTTGATGATGAAAAAAGATTACGAGTATGCCAGAGAAAACAATATATTCAAAGTTAGAAGAATATTTTGATGTATCAAAGTATCAACCCGAATAACCTGACCAACCCAACGGTTTGGGTTGGGTTGCATTTTGGTTTGGGTTGAGATTTTTCAAATTGCAAGCATTGGATTGAGTTTGTTCAAATGCCTTCAAACCCGATCAACCCAACACATGAGCATCCTTATGTATCAATATCGTTTCAACAAATTTGGTTGTTTTGTTTAATTTACCCGAGAGACTAGCTACTTACCGGTGAAGTCGGAGGCGAGTTTCCCGTTACAAAACCGGCCGGTAGGATGGCTGTCGGTGAAGTCCCTACCATAAGGAGGGAAGTTAGATTTGACAAGGGTTTCAAGGTGGTTATTGTTACCGGCATCAACAACTGAGTCTCCAAATATGAAGAGTCCCGGAACTAATGGCTGACCGTTCCCTTCGGTACTCGATAAAAATAAAACACCCACAAATAACACAAGAAGAACATCAACTCTCCAAGATGAGGTTTCAACCATGCCCATTTCACTTTGTTTTTTCAAAGAGGAACCGATGACTACAATTGTGTGTTTGTAAATAGAAGGGTGGAAATTTATACAAGATGTTAAACAATATCATAATATATATATATATATATATATATATATATATATATATAATATATATATATATATATAAAATAGATGTTGGAGTTGGATATATAACTTTTTAGAGATTTTAACTATTCATACTATATTATAAAAATTGAACAATAAAAGTTGAAATCTTTGAAAAATATATATTTAATTCAATAGATTCTATATTTTACAGATTTATTATATTATTCAAATACATTTTTTTAAAAGAGTTTATATAAAATGATAATAATTCAATCTTATTGGTGGAAATAAATAAAAAATTGATTATTCTCTGTGAACATCAAGTTTTAAAAAAGTATCTAAAATTTGAACTTTCTCTATTTTAGATAACAACAGAGAGGATTTGCTGAAGCAAAAGAGAAAATAGGGTTGAAGACATTTTAACAAGTCAACCTAATATTTGTGATTTGAAAAATCTCAACCAACTTAATCCAAACTGTGGCGGGTTGGGTCGGTCGGTTTGATCAGGTTGAAAATTTGGTACATCATTTTACGATCAGTTGAAAGTTGAAAGTAAAGTTCATGAAAATATTAGTTGAATTGTGGTTTAAGAGGATTTTTATTCCTCTTCGGATTCGAATAAGGGACTTTAAGGGATTTTTGATCTTTTGAAATCAAATTCAAACCAATCATACACCACTCTTATAGTTATGGGAGCTCTTCTTTTTGGGATGAAGAGGACTGATCAGTTCTAATTCACAAATTTTTTTAACAGACTTTTGTTATAACATTTTGTCTTAATTTTTATAAAAATAATTGAAATTGCTAGACTTATTTAAATTAAACTATAAAGGTATTTGTGCAATACAGCGAGATACATCTTGATTTTAATATTTTATTTTATTTTTTTATCTCAGTCGATGTTATAATATGGTCTTATGTGATTTTAAAAATACGATAATGTTTTTATTTTCGAATATAATATAAACTTGAAAATATTATAAAATTTTGATATAAATATATCGATATTAGTATCAAATTAACTATTTAAAATTTCTTATTTTTTGTATAATTTTTTAATTCAAAATTTTTATTATAACTTAATTCAGGTTCAATAACGAAGTAATTTATATTTTGTTTAATAATATATTTTTTTATAAAGATAATAATTAATTATTTTGTTAAAACTCGATAATTATCCTAATTATATTTTAGATTTTTTATATTTTAAAATTAGATGTTTATCATCTATTTGATTATGTTTATCCACAGTTAGTTATACAAATTCAAACATGGAGCTTTAATAAGTTGTACTTACGTATAATTTACTTGTAATCGTGAATTTTAAGTAACATACATCAATAAATAGTACTTTATACATAAAAAATAGTTTTTGTCAAATGTTTTATAATATAGTAGATACTTCAAATATTTCTTGTGAACGGAAAATGGGTAGACGGTCTTTTGTCAGTATGAGATTTGCATTACCTGCACCATTTTATTTATTTATTTTACCCCAAAATTAGTACAAAATAAATTTATGGTGGTTCCAACCGCCAAATAATTTCTTGACTCGTGATTTTGTGAGCTGGCATGGCTTCTAGACACCTTCTCTTCTAGTCCTAATTTTAAATCGTTATTTTCAAAAGGGTGGTAACAAATAGAGTAAACTACAAATTTTATTTTTGTGGTTTGTCAAAATTAACGTTTTTTGTCCTTAAAGTTTTAAAGTTACAAGATGGTTATCGTGATCTGTAAAAACGTCTGTATTTGGTCCATTCTTTTAACGGTCGTTAAAAATTCCATTATATGAGGGGTATTTTTGTCTTTTTGTTTTCTTTATTTTACCAAATCAAAGTCAATTTTTATAATTTTGTGATTCATGTGGTTTTTGATTGGGTAAAAAAACGAAAATGGCAAAATGCTCCTGATTTAACGGGTTTTTTTTTGTAACGAAATTCAAATATTTTTGAAAAACACGATGACCATCGTTGTGATTTGGAAACTGTAAGGATGAAAAGTGTTATATTTGTTGACATACATACTAATTCATCAACTTATGCAAGTTGGTTTATGGTTTTTGTTATATGTTCAGTAGTCAGTACTGATGCACGTCTATAGAACATAAATATACACATAAAAAAATTGCATGTTTAATATCGAGTGCAAATCACTATCAAAATAGTGCATTGCTTGAGTAAAAATTAACGTTGAAAACTTCTTGGGTCAAAACATAACTTGTTTTGGATGTAGTTGTGCTTCTTATCACGTAAATTGGTTTATCTTAAACATATCGACAAATATAGAGGTGTTTCTCACACATATGTTGATCGTCATTCTACTAAGTATAGAGATGTTTCTCACCACTTAGATTGGTCATCATGATACCGGTTCCACAACACTTGTAGCATCCTGTCATTCTACTCGACGTCACGACATATGACCCACAAGCATATAAACATCTCATGTTTTGGTGCAATTGTTCATAAATGCCTTCATTAAAATGTACACTTCACAATCTTACTAAAAAAAATTTATTAAACTGGATATCCAACCCGCTATACGAGCTGACAAATCCCATGACGACCACCCGTTTTACGGGTAGTCCGGAGTCACCACATTTGAACCTTCGTGGCCAAAAGGGGAATTTTATTCCTCCTTGGATTTGAACCTGGGACTCCAGGTACTTTTGACATTTGGAGCCAAAACTCAAACCAATCAGATACCACCTTTGTGGTTCACATCTTACTACTTGTGATGATAACAAACGAAACCCAACATGAGTTATGAATTATTATTTCCCTTGAATTGTACAATGAATATTTCAGTGATCTTTCATATTGAGTATATCAAGACGAATTAAAAATTCGTTCACAACAGGGATCAGCTAAAATCAATAATCAGATATTTTATAGAGTGTATAAAGAAAGAGAAAGATGACGAGCAAAAGACATATTATGAGATATTTTACGAGATTATTAAGTATAAAGTTTTTTATTTTTCAATTTTCTTTAAGTCTTTCTACCAAATACTAAAATGACAGTGAATTTCATTTATTTATAGACCAGTCATTTTTTATTTAAGTCACTAATTTAATGAGGCGTGCGACTCGAATTGTTTATCGTATTTCCATAAGTTCGCTGTCTTTTTATATGATCGTCCATCTAATTATACATGGGGTTATACACGTAATTTTGTAGTCTTGTTCAATATTTATTTGTTCAGATAAAATCCTATTAGAAATACCAATTTTAGTTTTTTAAGTTATATACTCAAAAAAATTATAAATCATATGTTTTTATAATTTCATGAACTTATTGAATAGTTTGGTACAAAATGATTAAGTGATCAAAATAATGATGAAACTCTCATTATAGTGCAAAATGAAATAGATTGTTCAGTAATTGTTTACAATAAATTTAGAGTGTTGAATGGTTAAGGGTGCTTTTGATACAAAATCATTTAGAGGATTTTAGAACCATTACGAGGTAGATCTTTTTTTGTCAAACAAGATTCATCTCTTAACGATTCAAATGTTTTTTTAATAGAATTATTAAAAGATAAACAAACAACCTCTTAAGAATTACATAGTACTTGTCTATTTTTTAAATTTATTAATTATAATAACGCAAAATCACAAGAAACAACAAATTCATATGGACCTAACAATTAAAACACGGAGGCCCTTTGGGCCTGCTTCAAGCCCATAAATGATCAGCAGTGAATATAAATATGTTTAAATTTAAATTCTTTTTTTTTCTTTTTATAGTGAAAATAGTCGTACGTGGTAAAAGACATTAGATGGGGCATTTGCACAATGCAGTGAGATAAATCTCGATATTAATGTTTAGTTTTTTTTTTGTCGATTGATATAATACGATTTTATGTGGTTTTGAGAAAATGGTAATGTTTTTATTTTTGAATTAAAATATAAATTTCGAAGATAGCATAAAATTTTATAAAAAAATAAATCGATAATAGTATCAAATTAACTATTTAATAGTTCTCGTTTTTTTGGTGTAACTTCTTTAATTCAATTTTATTCAATTTTTTATTATAATTTAATTTATATTTAATAACAAAGTAATTTATTTTTGGGTTAATAATATAATTTTTTATAAAGATAATAATTAAACATTCTGTTAAATCTCAATAATTATCTTAAAAATATTTTAGATTTTTTATATTTAAAATGGATGTTTATCCTGTATTTGATTATGTTTATTAGCAGTTAATTACACGAATTTAAAAATAAAGCTTTAATAAGTTTTACTTACGCAAAATTACTTGTAATCTTAAATTTTAGGTAATATGCATCAATTAACAGTACTTCATGCATAAAATTGGTGTTTAAAAGTTTTTGTCAAATATTTTATAATATAGTATAGATATTTTGAAATAATGGTAAGAATGGGTTTTGCTCGGTACCCAGATTGAAATATAGAATAAATTGTGTTTTTAGGCCATGTGATTTGTTAAAAATTTCCATTTTTGTCCTTGAAATTTTAAAATTACAATTTCCATCCCTATAGTTTAGTCCTTGTAATTTACAATTTATTTATATTTAATTCTTCATACATAAAAGTAGTGTTTAGTCTCAAAAATGAAAATAGAAAAGAATTACAAACCATAGAGACAAAAACAACAATTTCAAAACCATGTGGACAACATCGTACTTATCAACAAACCACATGGGCGAAAACATAATTTATTCTAAAATATACCATTTTTTATATGAAAGATATTATAGAAAACCAAATAGGTTGTATACACTCAACAAGAAAATGACATCTAAATTTTATGACGTTTTTAAATCATTTGAACAAAAAAGTTCAAAAAAATCTGATGAATTTCAATATATTAAATGATCAAATATTTAGACATTTTTTTATAAATAAATTTTTAGGTTTTATTAGACCTGTTAAATAAATCTTTATCATCAGAAAACGA